AATGGTTCTCCCACCTTATCAGCTAGCTTTTAGGGTGTGGCTCTCCCTTGTGCTGTATCAATGGTATCAGAGCCAACTCGGAGTGGTGGCCTATGGAGTGGTGGCCCACGGAGTGGTGGCCTGGTGAAACCAGCCGTGACCAACGTGGCCGTGACCAACGTAGCCGTGACCAACGAGGACGTTGGGCCTTATGGGGGGTCGAATGATACGGACTGATTTCATTGCCCACACCGGTTAAATGGGGAACTTGGTGATGGGTTTATATAGCCAAGGGTTCTCCCACCTTATCAGCTAGCTTTTAGGGTGTGGCTCTCCCTTGTGCTGTATCAATATTTGATAATATGGACTATAACTATTGAAATTCCCTCGTTATAAAAAAGTTTTTGGAGAATTTGTTCTTTTTAAACCACTTTTAATATAAAAATTAGTAGATAGGAAAAATGTATAACTATAGTTTATTTATAAAAAATCAAAATTTGTACATCACAAAAAATAGTTTATCAAAAAATTCAATTTTTAGTACGAGAATCGATTTGAAACTGATAGGAATTAAAAAGATATTCGAAGTTATTGTCCCTTTTTAATAACGTAAGAGTTTCAAATTTTCCTCCAAAATAAGAGTATAATACGAAGTACTAATAATGCCAATATATACTATCACTATACAATGTCATTATGTCTCAGTGCAAACCCGTATATTGAGAAAAAACATGAAATTCTTATTTTGAGACTCCTATTTTGGATGGTTTCAAATTACTTACTAATTCCTATGTCTTCCATGATAATTCTCATATTAAAAATTGAATTTTTTGGTAAATTTTTTATAATGATAATTTTGACTTTTTATATACAAACTACAATCATATACTTTTCATATTTGTAACTACCTTCATCCTAGAGTATTGATCTACTTTTGAGTTTTTTTGTCAAAATCGGCAATCTTTGACCATGAATTAAATAAAACTAATATTAGATATTGATATTGTAGAATTTAGGAAAATAACGTTCTGCCTTTTCCATTGATCTCATCCAATATATATAAGGGAGATGAACCAAAATAGGAGTAAAAGAGATGTCATATTCCAAAATAGGAGGTGAAACTTAAACTTCCTTAAATAGGAGTAATTTACTTCATTAATCTAATGTTCTCACATACTCTCCCGCTTCCCGTTCATCTTTCCCTCGACCATACAAGACACAATAACATTACTCAATTTCCCTTCTATCTCCTCCATTTTACAAAATTAATGTATTGATTTGTTGCTGCCCTCTCCAGTATCATTAGTGCTGCCTCTCTCACCCCATCTGTCACTTCTTCCATCGCCCCATGCCACCTCCAATGATGTCCTTCAATTGCGGCTGTCCTTCAATTGCCGCCGCCCCTACTGCTGCCACTTCCGCCTTTGCGAACCCCTACCACTTCGACAACAGGAAAATCAAAGAAGTTAAAGAAATTCAAATCTTCCATCACTGGGAAAAAAATCATGGGCACAAAAATAAGCTATCCTCAACTTCACTCACTTTCTAATTTATAGAAAAAAAAAGTTACCAAAATGTAACAAAGTATTAATCTCATCTATTATTTAGAGGATCAAGATTGATTTCCAAACATGGAATGTCCATCCAAGGTTCAACAACAATGGATACACATGGGTGAACTCAATTCCTTATCCCCCTAACATGCACGTCTACGACATAATCATCCAAACCTGCCTTTACCCCTCTCCATATTTGATCCTCGCCTTGTGAATCCATCCAAAGCGAGTTGTTCCTCTGCATGAGAGACTACAGCCTGTCTTCCACTGCCGCCTTCATTCATGTCCTTGAATTAAAGCTCCCCTGCTACCACTGAGTAGTTTACAACAAGAAAGTAAAAAAGTAAAATGCACAATGACATATATCTCTTTGTATGTGTTTGAGTGCCTTCTGTTGGAGTTGTGCCCTGATGGCCAACTGTTTATTATTATTCTATCACGTATAGGCAGATATAATATGTTTACACATCTCATGCTAATGTAAACAAATATTGTATTCCTAAATTTATATTTAAAAGATGTTTATCAGATAATGTTATTCTGTTGATGAGACTAACATCTTGAAATAAATATTTATCTAAATGTCCATAGTCGAGTATGTAAGTTCGTGGGGGGCGCAGCGGAAATCACCAATTAAGAACTATGCAAACAAATCAACCAATTATGCTGCAGAGAAGATGCTGCATCACTGTCACAGTAACAGATGACAGACAGTCTGCTATAACACTTCTCTGTCACAAGCACACACAGAAGCAGATGACGCAGAGGACGTTACAGCGCCTACTGGGCAGATTGCTGTAACTGTAAAAATGGGTAAAAAAAATAACACCAGATATGTTTACGCAGTTTGGAGCAAAATCTCCTAGTCTGCGGGGCCCACGTCCGTGTAATAGCCCTCCACTAAATCACTAGATGCAAGTTACACCGGTACATAACAACATGATGAGACACACTTCTCCGAATTGTTATGACAAAACTTCTATCTAGGATTTCTAACCCGAACTCTGTTCAGATCCGCTTCGGCTATCACATCTCCACCGAGATCGCGAGGACAAACGTGTTGGCAGCCCACTCGTTCAGCTCTAATTCATCTCTTGGACGTCACGATCTGTTTGGCGTTGAAGATCTCCTCCTTCATGTAGATCGTAACCTTCTTCACGCAGGGGAAGCTCCGGGACGCGACGGGAATGCTCTACATCAGCGTGTATTCTTTGTTTTCCCTCTCAATCGCTCCAAGTAATTCCCAGGGACCTACTGCATTTTTATAGGCCTCTCTTAACACAATCCTAGTAGGAATAGGATAGTAGAAGTTGGCTTGAACTCTACTTCCTTAATCTTGATCCACAAGTAGCCTAAAGAGTTGGGATTCCTTAGCATGTACAGCTGGAGTTATTATCATGTAATCACAATCCCAATAGGTCTCTAATTCAGATTGCAGCTTAAAATCCCGTGCTCAGACCTCTGATCCCGAACAGTGTGTTGCAGCATCGTGTTGTAGCATCTTCTGTGTCAACCTCGAAAACTGCAGCAACTCTAGAAGTCTAAATAAAATAAACCTCTCCTAAGAAATAGAGGTTTCTACCTAGTAAAATATCTAACAAATATGGGATTCTATTTTGCCAAAATATTAGCCAACACCCTGGAACCAACAATCTCCCCCTTTGGCAATTTTTGGCAAAATACATCGTGCACCATGCGCATAAAAGATTAAAGCATCTTTTAAGAACTAAGCCTTTTCTCCCCCTTTTTGACACAAAATATGCCAATCTTATTTAGGGTAAAAAAGAAAAGTAATACCAAGTTCTTTTAAGAGCATACAAAAATAACAAGCGCAAAACAAATAAAATCTACCATTAAGATCCATGCACATGCTTCCCATTTGAATTTCATGCTGGATCTCCATCCCATTTGAATTTCATGCTTCCCATTTACTGCCGTAGTATTTTTCTAGAACTGTCTGGGGTGAGCGTGGTTCACCCGGTGTATGTATATCTCTATTGCTTGTGTGGATGTATGATATGCATGGTGGATGATTGTGGCTATAGTTTATTTGATTATAATATGGCCTGCGTGTCGTGCCTTATCTCTTAAACTCTTGTTGTAAATCTATTTCTCTCTCTTACTTCAACCGAGGATTCTTTTCTCACGTGGTGGTTAGAAGATGAAAAGATTTGATGACCGTTTGGAGAAATCTAAAAGAATGGAGATAGCCCGAAGTTCAAGTACCCGGAAGCTAGTGGGAGCTATCATTTTATTTTTCTTTTAGGGGCCACAATCATTACACGTTTATTTACTGCTTTTTGTGAATGCATGTTGAATGTATATTGAACGCTAGTAATGGACATGTGCGCGGCCATGTCGCTAGTTGAGATCGAAATTATAAATCCCTCACGGATATTAAGTCAAATTCTGACGCCCGGCACCTATCCGGCTAATGTGCACTGTCATGTACTCAGCGTCAGCAGAGCATAGTACGGTGTAAGTTAAGCTGGTTACGGGAACCGCCATAGCATGGTCGCTGTCGCACGTTGGGTTAGACTTAACTGAGTCTCGGTCAAATGGATGGACGACTCAGAGGCAGTAAGTTGGGGTCATCAATGACAAGTCAGATGATTTTACTCACTCATCCAGCCAGGAGTTGGATCTTTATGATTTAATTAGAACTCTGTTCCTAACCAAAGTAGTCTGCTTGTAAGACGTGCCTCAGCCAATTACAAGTATGGTGAAAAGGTGTCCTGGTCCGATTGTAGTAATATTGTTCGCCCAACACCAGACCAAGAGTTGAGAGCCCGGCTCATCAGGTGGAACTATGTTCCTACCTAAATAGTTGTCTTGTGGAGTAACGCCCAAGCGGAACGCAAGATAATGAAATATGGATCTTGGCCCACTAGAGGTTTTGCCAGAAATCTCCGAATCAATATCGAGGGTTATTGATTTGTTAAAAATAGTGGGAGATAATTAATTAAAGGCCTAATTAATTATTAAACATGATAGATAACCTATTTTTCAAAATTTTCTGTAGATGGCAAACAACAACAACCCTTTCAACCTGCGATATGTTCTAGAAAAGGAAAAATTATCCGGAACTAACTTTCTTGATTGGGAGATGAATCATAAGATTGTTCTTGAATGCGAGAAAAAGCTTTACGTCATAACATCTGAGCCTCCCAAAGCTCCTGAAGCGAACGCCCGTGCTGCAGAAATTACTTCGTACCGGAAGTATGAAGATGAGGCACGTGATGTGAGATGTCTCATGCTAGCCACCATGACCCCGGAGCTCCAAAGGCTCCACAAGGACATGGAAGCTCATCCTATGATGACTCGCTTGAAAGGTCTATACCAAGGCCAGGCTAGACATGAGCGTTTCAAAATCTCTACGACTCTTTATTCCAGTAAGCTGGCAACGGGTAACCCAGTTGGTCCCCACGTTCTCAAGATAATCGGTCAGATCGAAACTCTTGAAAAACTGGACGCCCCACTGCACCCTATGCTGGCAACTGATCTCGTCTTGGGATCATTACCAGCTGAGTATAGTCAAACTGTAGTGAACTTCTACATGAACAAACTAGAGATGACTATGCCTGAGCTACTGAAATTCCTCACAACTGCTGAGGAGAGTCTAGGGAAGGGCAAGGGTAAGTCTGTCTTGATGGTAGAGGGCAGTACTGTTACGAAGAAGAGTGGGCCACGTCCGCCGGCCGGGACCAAGCGCAAGGGTTCTAAGAAACCCAAGCCAGCGTCCAACTCCTCTTCGTTGAAACCCAAAGAAGGAGCTAAGAAGAAGTCTGCTGTATGCTATTATTGTGGCAAAAAGGGCTACTGAAGGCGCAACTGCGCAAAATTACTGGCAGAGAAGAAAGCGTGAAAGAAACCTCAAACCTTAGGTATCTTCGTTATTGAAGTCAATATGTCTGATATCACCTCTTCGGTGATGGATACTGGATGTGGTTCTCACATCTGTACTTCTATGCAGGATGTGCATGAACGTAGACAATTGACGGAGGGAGAGATACAACTAAAAGTCGGCAATGGTGCACTCGTAAATGCATTAGCCGTCGGAACCTTTAGTTTATCTCTACCTAGTGGTCTTATATTGTATTTGAATAATTTTCTGTTTGTACCTAGTATGAGCAAAATCATCATTTCTGTATCCTGCCTTGACAAAGAAGGATTTTCGTTCGTTGTAAAAGACAAAACTCTTTTTGTCTTTAGAAATGATATATATTATGCAAGTGCAAAAATGACCAACGGTCTCTATGTCCTTGACATGGATACCACAATATATAACGTAGATGTTAAGAGAAACAAACCTAACACTTTGAATCTCGCGTACCTTTGGCATTGTCGTTTGGGCCACATTAACGAGAAATGCATATCTAAGTTACATCGTTCCGGTGTACTTGATTCATTTGACTTCCAGTCATATGATGTATGTAAATCTTGTTTACTTGGTAAAATGACAAAGGCTCCATTCACAGGTCACGGTGAAAGGGCGAGTGACTTATTGGGCCTCATACACTCCGATGTCTGTGGTCCAATTAGCACTGTAGCTAGAGGTGGTTATTCTTACTTCGTTACATTTACTGGCGACCTTAGTAGATATGGATATGTGTATCTCATGAAACACAAATCGGAATGCTTTGACAAATTAAAAGAATTCAAGAACGAAGTAGAAAAACAATTAGGCAAAAGCATTAAGACCCTCCGCTCGGATCGAGGAGGTGAATACTTAAGCCTGGAGTTCAATGACTATATGAAAGAGCATGGGATCTTATCCCAACTCCCTCCTCCGGGGACACCTTAGTTAAATGGAGTGTCTGAGAGAAGAAATCGGACTTTGCTAGACATGGTCCGGAGCATGATTAGATTGACAACATTGCCAGAATCATTTTGGGGATATGCATTGAAAACAGCAGCGCACACACTCAACAGAGTTCCATCTAAAGCTGTCGAGAGCACACCATATGAACTATGGCGTGGGAGAAAACTGAGTTTCTCGTACTTTAAGATTTGGGGCTGTGAATCTTATGTAAAACATCTCATGACGTCTAGTAAGTTGGAGCCTAAATCTGATAAAGTAATTTTTGTGGGATACCCCAAGGAAACTAGAGGGTATGAGTTCTCTCATCCATCCGATAACAAAATTTTCGTTGCTCGGAATGGAACCTTCCTTGAGAAGGAGTTTCTTTCTACAATCACTAGTGGGAGAAAGGTAGACCTCGAAGAAATTCGAGAACCACAAGAAGAAGTCCCGATAGTGTTGGAATCTGAGCAAATAGATCAAGCACTTGAACCTCAAATTGCTCAAGATATACCACGTAGGTCAGACCGGATACGTAATCCTCCGGTCAGATATGGATTTCTCATGTCTGATGAAGGTGACGTCTTGTTGGTAGATCAAGGCGAACCAGAGACCTACCTCGAGGCAATTACATGCCCCGAATCCGATCTATGGCTCGAAGCCATGAAATCTGAAATGGAGTCTATGTACACAAACCAAGTCTGTGAAAGGTAACCANATAGATCAAGCACTTGAACCTCAAATTGCTCAAGATATACCACGTAGGTCAGACCGGATACGTAATCCTCCGGTCAGATATGGATTTCTCATGTCTGATGAAGGTGACGTCTTGTTGGTAGATCAAGGCGAACCAGAGACCTACCTCGAGGCAATTACATGCCCCGAATCCGATCTATGGCTCGAAGCCATGAAATCTGAAATGGAGTCTATGTACACAAACCAAGTCTGTGAAAGGTAACCATGCAAGGATAGGCAGCGGAATATAAAAATTTTAACATCCTAACATGATTATCATGCCCAGAATCACGTACTAAAACTTATAGTGAGTAAGAAATTTATACCTTTCTCCGTAAGCGGTTAAAACGAAGAAGTCGTAGGAAGAGCGTTGAAAGTGCAAACGTAACCGTTCAAGCGTCTGGTCTCCAACTTTGACACACGAACAATGCCAGAGTCTACCACAATCTTTATGCTAGTAAAGATTATAGTAGTACAAAATATAAAGATTAAAATTTGGGATGATAATAATCTTGTATATTTCTATAGAAAATATTTCTAATAATATTTAGAAAATATTATTTATATTTTCTATACACAAAATGATATTAATGGAAACAAACAAATAATTCTTCTCTCTAGAAAAATATGGCCGAATGACACACCCATGAAAATGATAATCTTCACCCCCTTTTTATTTCAAAGTGCCGTGTAACCTTTTAAAAAGAAAACAAAAGATTCAAAGTGATTAATCAAACTATTTTGTCATTAGCTAAATGACAAAATTAACTAGCCACTTAATTAGCAATCAAGGAAAGTTTGATTCTCAAAATCCTTATGATGGCCGAAAATTTTCTTTGTGATTGTGAGAAGGATTTTCAAAATTCTTCTCCACTAAAATGTTCAAAGTGTATTTTGTTTGACACCAAAAATTAGTATAAAATTAATTTTAAATCAAATAAAATACCCATATCATTTTAAACAAGTTTACAAATATACTTTAAATAGTTTATGTCAAAATAATTATTTTCATAATTAAAATGACAAACCAAAATAAAATATTCAACATATAATATATATATATTAATCGGCACATATATATAATATATATAACCCAATATTTATATATATATATATATATATATATATAATATTATATTCCAAAATATTTTATTTTACTATTTTTTTACAAATATACAAATTACTTATTATCCCATTGTTTAATCTTACTACTTAAATTGTCCAGAGTGTGTGACCCGTATAGGCACTTATAAAGCTGGCCACAGTATTGGCTCTGCACCAATACTATAAGCAATAAACGGTATCTAGAAACACATTATTGCCCCCAGATTATAAGTTAAGACCTTTGCACCGTCAAAACCATTCCACGACTCAGACTCCGTGTAACTGTATCCCTTTGTCTCAATGTCTAAACTTAATGCAAGGGATTAATAAAATCCAACTTGTATCCATTAAGTCATTCACTGATTTATCAAGTCTGACTAATAGGAACAGACGTCATAAAAAACATCTCAGCATGGCCATGCAGTTTCCTTAGTCATGACTTATCAGTGGGCCCCATAAGACATTAATCTCTAAAAAAGACTAGTGACAAATCCTATATACGTAATCTACGTTTCTGAATACGCGCTGCGGAATACCCAAAACAAAGCCTATATACCATCCTTATTTCATATGGCTTAGGACAATGCATCAAAGCATGCGGGTTCACATATCCAGAAAACGACATACTTCAAGTCGAAGGATAGTTACACCTGTGGTCGCGCTAAAGATGCTTAGATCATGAACTAAAAGTTTAAGCAACATCTTTAGGATGGGTCAGTCTGGAATCCTATTTTCTACAGATAATATCTGCCCATGTGAGGATGCGAACACACCGTCATTGACTATGAGACTAAGTCAAACATCCAACACACACTAGTCTCACATGCATTAACGATATCCCACTCTCGTTAATACTCGACTATGGACATTCAGATAAATATTTATTTCAAGATGTTAGTCTCATCAGCAGAATAACACTATCTGATAAACATCTTTAAATATAAATCTAGGAATATAATATTTGTTTACATTAGCATGAGATGTGTAAACATATTATATCTGCCTNTGCGAACACACCGTCATTGACTATGAGACTAAGTCAAACATCCAACACACACTAGTCTCACATGCATTAACGATATCCCACTCTCGTTAATACTCGACTATGGACATTCAGATAAATATTTATTTCAAGATGTTAGTCTCATCAGCAGAATAACACTATCTGATAAACATCTTTAAATATAAATCTAGGAATATAATATTTGTTTACATTAGCATGAGATGTGTAAACATATTATATCTGCCTATACATGATAGAATAATGATAAAACAGTTGGCCATTAGGGCACAACTCCAACAATCTCCCACTTGCACTATGGCCAATCTGGCATCAGACGAATGCCCATGGACCTAGTGTGACCCTCATGCTTTAGCTTTCCTAAAGGCTTGGTCAAGGGATCGGCTATGTTGTCGTCAGTATCTACTTTGCAAATCATCACATCTCCTCTGTCTATGATTTCTCGTATGATATGATAGCGTCGTACAATATGTTTGGTTTTCTGGTGAGATCGCGGTTCCTTTGCCTGTGCAATGGCCCCAGTGTTGTCGCAAAACAACGAGATATGGTCATTAATACTAGGAACCACTCCAAGTTCAGTAATGAACTTCTTGATCCAAACAGCTTCTTTAGCTGCCTCGGCGGCAGCTATGTACTCAGCCTCTGTAGTTGAATCGGCGGTTGTATCCTCCTTGAAGCTCTTCCAGCCAAAACAAATATCCTTCTTGTGATTTTCAATCTTCTTTGTCGGTTTGGAAGCTAGCATCAATGTAACCAACCACCTTTAGCTCTTCCTCACCACCGTATACCAGGAATGCATCCTTAGTATTCCGAAGATACTTGAGGATGTTCTTGACCGCTGTCCAGTGTGCTTCTCCTGGATTTCCCTGGTATCTGCTGGTCACGCTTAAAGCGAATGAGACATCAGGTCTAGTACATATCATGGCGTATATGATGGATCCAATCGCAAAGGCGTATGGAACCTTCATCATGAGTCCCTTCTGCTCGAGAGTAGAAGGACTCTGGCTCTTGGAAAGAACCGTGCCAGGTGTCATAGGTAAAGATCCTTTCTTTGAGTTAGACATGCTAAATTGATCAAGGATTTTATCTATATATGTACTTCGATTTAGACCTATTAACTTTCTTGATCTATCTCGGTAGATTCTTATGTCAAGGACATAACTAGAATCCCCTAAGTCTTTCATGGAGAAGTTCTCGCTCAACCACGTCTTTACAAAAGTGAGAGTGGGAATATCATTACCCATTAACAATATGTCATCGACATATAAGATTAGGAATACTATTACACTCTCACTGACCTTCTTGTATACACAAGATTTGTCAGAGTTCTTCTCGAAACCAAAACTGGAAATGGTTTCGTCGAAGCGTATGTACCAACTCCGAGAAAGGATAGGTAAAGATCCTTTCTTTGAGTTAGACATGCATCTGCACATGGGCAGATATTATCTGGAGATAATAGGATGCCGGACTGACCCATCCTAAAGATGTTGCTTAAACTTTTAGTTCATGCTCTAAGCATCTTTAGTGCGACCACAAGTGTAACTATCCTTCGACTTGAAGTATTACGTTTTCTGCATATGTGAACCCGCATACTTTGATGCATTGTCCTAAGCCATATGAAATAAGGATGGTATACAGGCTTTTTTTGGGTATGCCGCAGCGCGTATTCAGAAATGTAGATTACATACATAGGATTTGTCACTACTCTTTTTTAAAGAGATTAATGTCTTATGAGGCTCACTGATAAGTTATGATTGAGGAAATTGCATGGCCATGCTAAGATGTTTTTATGACGTCTGTTCCTATTAGTCAGACTTGATAAATCAGTGAATGACTTAATGGATACAAGTTGGATTTTATTAATCCCTTTGGTAGTTTTATTTGATTTAAAATTAATTTTATATTAAGTTTTGGTGTCAAATAAAATACACTTTGAACATTTAAGTGGAGAAGAATTTTGAAAATCCTTCTCACAATCATCATTCAGCTATATGAGGATTTAATGAATCAAAATTATGTCTTGATTGATTCTTGAGTGGCTAAATTGATTTGTCATATTAGCTAATGTCAAAATCAATTACATATCATACTTTATTTAAACCACACACATGATTAGCTAACTATGGGATTTTTAAAAGGAATTTTCGGCCACCATTATTTTCTTGAGAGAGAAAAATTTCTTTTGTGTTCCATTAATATCATTTTGTGTATAGAAAATATTTATAATATTTTCTAAATATTATTAGAAATATTTTTTATAGAAATATACAAGATTATTATTATCCCAAATTTTAATCTTTATATTTTATACTACTATAATCTTTACTATCATAAAGATTGTGGTAGACTCTGGCGTTGTTCGTGTGTCAAAGTTGGAGACCGGATGCTTGAACGGTTACGTTTGCACTTTCAACGCTCTTCCTACGACCTCTTCGTTTTTACCGCTTACGGAGAAATGTATAAATTTCTTAGCACTATAAGTTTTAGTACATGATTCTGGGCAAGATAATCATGTTAGGATATTAAAATTTTTATATTCCGCTGCCTATCTTGCATGGTTACCTTTCACCTTCATGCTCTGCATAATCAAGTAAGGATTCTGGTTTATATGAAAAATTTTATACCTTTCAAATGTTTATAGTACTTTGCAAATTGCAATGTTGTACTTTCTTGTCCTCATGGGAAGTTAGGATTCTTATATTCAAAATGTCCATACACTATCAAAGAACACCACATTTAATCGCATAATGACAATGATGCCAATGTATAAAGGCATATGTGTGAATGCATAATTTTGTATAAAGATATAATGCCAAAATGACAATGTATAATGCCACACCTAACAATCTATAATGACACATGTCATTGTCTAATGCTTCATATTTCACATTTTAATGCATAATGTCAAAACAACTAAAATATAATAAAAACACTTTTAATACCAATTTTACAAAGTAATTTTCTAAAAAGTAAATTCAAATTTAAAATTGAATTTACCCGCTTTATGTCAAATTGAATATAAAATTAAGAATAGAAGGTGATGACAATGATATCAATGTATATACTTTCTTGTCCTCATGGGAAGTGAGAATTCTTTTATTCAAAATGTCCATATACTATCAAAGAACACCACACTAGCTT